TCGACGTAGAATGCAATAGGAATGTCGCAAGTCTATAAATATAATTGATAGTTAATAGATAGTTTAGTTATTATATCCACAGGCATGATAGAACGAGGCATGTGTGCATAAGAGTGTATTTATTAATGCACAATTAACAATGTCGTGCTATGTGTAATTCAAAACGGAAGTTAGTTAGTTGTCAAGGTCACATACTTAAACAACAAGCATAATCGTTTAGTGATAAATGTACAGATTGTGGAAATAAACAAATGCAAAAGCCATCAAAAACTATTTACAAAATAGGTTTATTAGACCTATCTTCACACACTGACTTCAACGTGCTGGGAGGTTCTTGGTAGGAAGAACGACCATTATAATGAATTTGTCTTTATCAAAACACTGGTCAGGATTAAATAAAATAACAACAGGAATATTGATATTAAATTCAGCTTAACCAGAACAGAGAAATTCAAGGCACAAGCTGAATAAACAGAAGCAAACAAGCAAGTGTAAAAGAGCACTAGAGGAACGACAACCGTAAAAGCCTCAACAGAAGGAAATATGACACAACGAAAAAACTGGAAGGGAAATATAGTAAACCATGGAGATTGGACAAGGACAAAGAAGGCAATTCAACCACTGAAATTTCAGAAACAGATGATTCCTTTGTATTTGAATGACTTCTGATGGTGAATTACAAATACAGTCCGTTCGTTTGTTCTCATCTAACTACGCTCTACTCCAAAGTCCGCTAATTCTCATGTGCAAGCAAGAAACTTCAACGACCTGAAAACAAATGTCAATTCTATTACTGCTACAAAGTTAAAGAACCTGGAGAGGAAAGCAGATAAGGTCCCTCAGTGCCGAATTGCCAGACCGTACGCAAAAGGAACAATGACGAAATCGCTTAAACAAAAAAACCTGCTCACAAGATCTTTTCCACAATCTGTGGAAGGTCTGCTAAAGCAGGTCAGTGAATCTGTGGTTCATATGCGAGCAAATCACAGCAACCGAATGCGATACAAGGGACCATGCGAGCCTGTTTCAGTTTCAGTTGTTAGTCCTAGCATTGGTGAGTACATTCTAGGCTGGATTCAGTTGATCTTCAAACCACTTTGTTCGTTAAAAGACTAAAATATTTGTATCACCAAAGTACACTTTGGCAATAAACTATCAGTTAGGTGTCGTTCATTGTTGCTAGGTTTACCGATGTATGGACAGTTGACTTTGGAATCTTTCTCGGTTTAATTAAAGAAGACAATCTGATACGACAAATTATGCATCTACTGATCCGATTTAGAGTGATAGTTTGATGCTACTCAAGTAGTAACAATGGTTGGAAAAGATGAGTAGTTTATGATGAAAATAATTGGAAGCCGCGTTTAGTGTCAAGGAAATACATCTTGTGCATACCAACGAATAGCACTCTTGGATCTGTCCGAATTTAAGATTATGGTTGACGGGTTCTTAGTCGGAGTTGATTGTTTCGGGCTCGCAGTTTTGTCGTTTAAACGTTTATGGTAAATTTCTACGTATCTCACGAACGACATTTGCTTTGTTTTTAAAGCCCCTACTTACGAAGTAGATTCATTAGACCTATCTCCACATAGCTTCCTTGTTCCCTTTGCATTTGTCCTACATAATAATTTATTCTTCTCTTAGCAGACCTTCTAAGATTTGGAACATCTTGCTGAGATCTATCTTGAGTACCAGTACCATCTTGCCAACCATCAGGTGGTGGTCTGGAGTACTGTTAGTACCTCTCTAAGTTCTCAAGCGTTCCACTGACTTTGGCTTTTCTGATGATGTAAATATGATTGATCTGATTCTCTGTAGTGTGATTCGGTGGGACCCATATAGCATTGTGAATTTGTTTGTGGGGGAATGTAGTGTCGTCTATAACTATTTTGTTGAATGCACATAAATCTGCAAGTCTCACCATTCTCGTTCCTTTTACTCAGTCAGTCCATGTCGTCGCATATTTTCTGTTATGACCCGAGAATAATGAATGGTAACATTTGGCATCTATTGATGGACAAATACTAAACGTACATTTCTATTGTATAATTAGTAAGTAACTAAACTATGCATATTCATATTCCTCTTATTATAAGCTTCATTTTCACCCATAAACTATTATTATACGTTTTACCATTCTTGAGTTATACCCAGTATATTAATTACTACGTCCCTCATTCACAGCCACATCTGGCTAATTCTTTTACAAATGTTGTTTCATATTTTATTGGTACGTTGTGGTCTGTCTGATTGGTATATAAACTCAATATGTTTGGAATAAAATGATTCATATTACAGAGGCTGAGACTGGTATTCTAGACTTAACTGGCTGGGCTAGGCGGAAAGCAGGACAAATCAGGACTCTAGGCTGCTCGCACGTGTTTTATGTGTCCTTGATCCGATCGATAAGTCACTGCTCTCTAATCGGCGGTTACAAGTTATAACATTTTCATACGCGGTGTTGCACATTTCGACTTTGGAGTTTAGGTCTCCCATCAGGATGTTCAGGTTTTTTATTGAGCATTTCGCAGTGATTGATTGCAGCCTCTCGTAAAACTGATCTTTATCGTTGTTGTTGCTAACATTTGTGGGTGCATAACATTGAATAACATTTAATGTGATTCCCTTCTCCTGAGTGTGCAGAACATTTTCTTCTTCGTGACCAAAGTACAGCCGTATCTCCCGAATCTATCCTCTTCCTACCGCATTTGGTCCAATGGGTTTTGCTGATTCCGAGTACTGCCAAGTTGTATTTCCTCATTTTTGCAGCCATTTGGTCTCTCATAGTCCGAACATTCCATGTACTTAAATTAGTTGTTGCCGTGATTGTCAGAAGGGACATCGTTCTCGTGGATTCGGAAGGGTCTCGGCTTTCACCACGATGCATCATAATCCCTCCTTCAACTTCCAGGACAGAGTTTAAGTTGTTTGTTGTGATAAGCGTTTTGTAGCAAGGTTGTTTTCTATGGGATGAGGATGCTGGTCCCATGTCCGATTCTCCTCCTTCACCCGGGCTTGGGCCCGGCAGTCGCTCCAGAGGAGTAACAGCCGGAGTTGGTAGGTGAACTCGCCCGTTTCCCAGTCATACTGAATCTCTCAAAAGACATTGAGAAAACATCTCACAATTATTGAATCTTAATTACTCAACTGTGTATGTGATGAAGTCGGAAATTATTTCACCACAATAATTTAGTTACAATGTCCCTGACAAATTCATATAATCTGATCGATTATTATTGCCTGTGGTGTTTTAGTCCAATGTAGTTCATTCTCACAGTCAGTTGGCTTCGAGTCTGTTAAGTAGTAATAATTACTCTGAGGCCTTTCAGAATATCTTATAACATTACAGTAGACACCCTTACTTAATATAACTGAATGTGCATCATATTCCTAACATGGTTCACGGTTGTCAAACTTTATTTAACTGAGTAGGTTACTGGTATATTAGTAGCAAGGATGCCTGATGTTAAATATAATCCAATTTGTTTGAGCATAGATGAAAACGGCGTCAATTCGCCACCACTTCTGTCTTTAAATGAACGATTCTCCTGGTACAGCAACACATAAAGAATTATCAGAATGAGTTTTGTGGAGATTTTAGTAAATTTCACAAGTTGAAATCATGAGTCAGTTGAAGCTAGACCACCATTGAAAACCTGGAAGCACTGGACGGCCGTTTCGTCCTAGTATGGGACTCCTCACCGTTGGATGCCGGCTCAGTGGTCTAATGGTTAAGTGCTCGCGCGCGAAGCCAGTAGGTCCTGGGTTCGAGCCCCGCGTGGTGTGGGATCGTGGATGCGTACTGCTGAGGAGTCCCATACTAGGACGAAACGGCCGTCCAGTGCTTCCAGGTTTTCAATGGTGGTCTAGCTTCAACTGACTCATGATTTCAACTTGTGAAATTTACTAAAATCTCCACAAAACTCATTCTGATAATAATCATCTGCTCACTAGTGACTGACTTCAGGAGAACCTTCTGGAGTTCTAGTGAGAAGCCGTCACCAGTGGAGTTCAACCAGGTCTGTTGTGAGATATCAGCTCACTGAAGACATTGGTGTTCGATGGCGCAACTTCGTGGATTGGTTGAAGTTAGACATTAACACCGTTGGATGCCGGCTCAGTGGTCTAATGGTTAAGTGCTCGCGCGCGAAGCCAGTAGGTCCTGGGTTCGAGCCCCGCGTGGTGCGGGATCGTGGATGCGTACCGCTGAGGAGTCCCATACTAGGACGAAACGGCCGTCCAGTGCTTCCAGGTTTTCAATGGTGGTCTAGCTTCAACTGACTCATGATTTCAACATAAAGAATTGTTAGTAAAAATCCTGTTTTCTCTCATGCCAAGTCAACACAAACGTCATTGAACAAATACATATAAGACGTACTTTGTGTACTGAAAGATGAAGAAGAGGTCCCGAGTCCTTTACGTAGATCTTAGGTAATGTAACAAGGATATGGTATACATTAATATCGGGAATTTCATGACACTCAGACAGAAAGGTTTGTTGTCCTATGTGCATCAATACGCGTAAGGCAGAATAAACTGGAAGTTTAAATTTACAGACCTGGTTAAGAGAATCAGAAAAAAAACTCAGATGAATGGGATCGCAACTGGTGTACTGTTTTTCACTAAGTTTAACATATATACCATATATTCAACTCCAGAGAGCTCTACAGAATATTCAGTATCCCAACAAAAATTCGGGGACCAAATTAACACACAATGAGTCCAAACTACTTTCAGTATGATATCCAGGATTTAGTGAACCCGCCACCCATTCAAATAAAAGTAACCACATGGAAAGAAATATCTATCGTTTTCCTAAAATCAAGCTAGAAAAAGATTAATTGGATAATAATTGATCCACTGCTACAAAGATAATATGACTAACCCGAATACCTTGCTAAGAATAATAAATGATTTGAAGTAGGTTAAAAATCACTCATAAAATCTTAACGTAGAAAACGTGCATCAACACCAATACTCGATAGAACAGAAAAGAGAAGTGCATGGCAAAACAAATTTTATTTGGATTCGTCATTTTTTATGTTATTTGTACAGTCATATTGAGTTGATGGTGAGCAAACTTCTGCTATATTGTATTTACGATATTTGAAGAAATTTTCCAACAAACTGATACAAGTCACCTTACACAGGACAGTTATTGAGACAACAACTGAAGGCGATGAATTGCATAAATTCCAAGATGAATCAACTGATTTGATTGCTTCAAATGTACTGCGTATAGCATCATCACGGGTAATAGCTTTGAAACCACGAGATTTGAACACAATCATAAACGTCTTCGATCCATTCAATGTAGATTCACAAGCAATCTGTTTTGGGACATGTAAAATTGAGGACTCGTCATCATTATTTGCGTTTTCTTCATCATTTGACTGGTCTAGAGGTACCTCAACTTTAGAACATTTTGTATTTATTTTACATGACGCTAGGCCAAGGAAGTTCGACCACGCTTTTAGCACACAATTTTCGAGCGACGGCAAATCTGACCGACATGTGTTTACAACAGGCATCAAACGAAGAACATAACGAGACTCTGCATTGGAAGTCGAGAGTAGTCTTTCGAATACACGATTACAAAGTTCTGCAGCACTAAGTAAATTAGTCTGATGAAGAATAAAAGAACAGTTACTGATATGTGTTTTCACAGAGTAGAAACCAAATTTATTTTTTGAATTGGCAGGATATTTTGAACAATTTTCACGTAGTAACTGTGAGTATAAGTCATCAGTATCATCATTCTTTTCATCACTAACCATATTATTAGGTTCAGAACCAACTAATTCATTATTTGTATTTACAGGACTGTTGATTTTAGATGCTCCACTAATATGCTTTTCAATAGAAATCTCATCTAAAGTATGATTTAACAAACGATAAGTCTCAATATGTGCTAATCGTTGCTGTTGATTGTAAGTTAATATATAACCGGTCATGCCGGGTTGTAAATTTTTCGGAATGCATGACACACTATCGTTTTGATCATTCAGACGAGATTTTTTTGAACCAAAAGCACATTTTCGGTAGTAAGCTTTGCGTTTTTTCTTGGACTTTTGATGGTCCATATATGATTATGCTATGTTGTTTATAAATATGTGGTCAAAAACACACAATATAATTGAATGTAAGTTTTGGTAGACACTAAGTATAAAAAAACTCAATATAGGTCTAATTAGAATTTGACCGAATGCATTGAAATTATTTCTACATACAGAGAAGAATATTAGCAAAAAATATTCTGCGAGGCCGATGATCAACCGACAAAGCAACTAATAATAATAATAATAACAGTAATCAATATAAACGTGAAGTATGGAACATTCTGATCAATTACGTAGAACAATAGACAGTCTGTATAGGGTCACCTATACAGATATTGAGCAGGAAATTAGTGTTATAGAAATCAAACAACTGGGAGCAGGTTCAAGCACTAGTTATCCAACCATACATACTATATATATATATATATATATATATATATATATTGAGTGGTCAGTTGTGGCCTGAGTACTCAGTAGTAACATCTCAAACTGTAGAGTTAAGTGATGCGGGCTCAAATCCTACAAGAAACATTAGTTCCCTGAATTCTCCAATTATTCATGGCTAATAAGTTCCAACTTGGGTGAAATTTAAGTCATCCACGGCTTCTTATCGGTTACCTACAGCAACCTAATATTAATAACCTCATGTAAGTAATATATACTGATTTGTCGATGAGAATGAATCTATTTCCTTGTTTAGTTTACTTGAGGATGGTGAGACTGGATCTTAAGATAAATCCATAGCATTGATCAGATCGCCCAGATCGACTATCTGGTACTAGAGACACCCTAAGTATGAGATAACAACCGAAAGTAACACTAGATGACTACTGGTCTAGAATTCAGTCTCCCATCCTTGCTCGCCTGATAGTCAGAATGGAGCACAACGCAGCAAACAGAAAGCTTCTAATCACACAGTTCAAACCAACCATATAGGGCAAAATCCTGATCACATATCAATAGGATTAAGAAATTATCACATGGGAACAACTATGCCATAAATGGAAGAGAACAAAGTGACAGGCCTGCAATAAATTAACGATATCTTGGGAAACGTAAATCACAAGAGTAGCTTGTGTCGAACAAGGGCTTACAAGTAATTATACAACAAAAATATAAATAACTGCAGATAGGACTGTAGTGGAGCAAAGTTTAGATTCAGGTGACCTGTGGGACTAAATAAACCTATAGTGATGGTCATAAGATTTTCATACAATTGGAGGCCAACAACATTAGATTACATAATGACTAAGAATCGGATTTATGACATAAGTAAATCATAGAGAAGTCATGACAAAATAATTTATTCGAAAAAACAACACACCAGAGGTCATCGAACACTTTTCGACTGTTCGCATGAAAATATAGAAGCAACCCGTGTGTTTGCGTCACGATTAACAAACAATGAGTAAAGTACCAACTAAGTGGTTGAAATTTATAGGTTACATCAATCACTCCCAACAACTTAGACAATCTGTGATTTGTCAGTTACACAGTAAACCTAAACGCTAGTAATGATCATAAGGGATATTGGAAAGCGTTTTATGTGAGTGGTCGAGTCTAACAATAATTTTAATCCAATCAGTCATTCATAACCAGCGTAAATCCTAGCACAAATATTTGGTGGCCTAAGTTTGCATACCATAATGGCACAAGGAAAAATTAACATGAATAATGTTGTAGTTATCCTAATGAAAAAGACTAAATATTGAGAATATGGTAAGAAAATACAGAACAGAAAAGGAATACTGGATTTAAAGTGAATACATCTATACCACCACAACCAACCTTAAGCCATATAAAGTCTTCAACCACTGACCGCGATTACCGCGTGGATGGCAACTAAGTAGTCTCCGTCTACCAACGTGGCTCGGAACAGTCAGTGACTACGGAATGATGTCACTTTTTGGTTTAGTCACATTATACCTTGCTTCTACCCATCAATTAATGTTCCGTACAATGCGTAGGCTTTCTATTGTAATGAGCTGTCCGTATCACAACACACACTTGAGCACCTATGAGATAGGTTACAGAACTAGTTTGGACATAAACTACATGTTGTTTTTTCTAAAATAAGACCAATGAATGATTAGGTAGAAATACACTATTTATCACGGTAACGAAAACTGTAAACAAAATAAAAGTTGGCCATTTACTTAGGATGGGACAATAACAACAGATCAGGAGTTAACGTGAAATATTGGAAGTAAAATAAAACGAATTTATTTTGATAGCAATTTTCAATTTTTTTCGTTTACAGGACATAGAATTATCCATATATCATTCTATATACATATTAAAATATCCAAAATCAAGAACTTACTTTTAAGACTGAAGCGATGTTTCTAAAATAAAAAAACCTATTATTTAGTAAGTTCAATCTCCAATAAGACAACTTAATACCAGTTCCACTATGAATATGAGTTTTAAAGAGGGCATAGATTGATCATGAATTCAATGAACTAGATAAACCAGTACAATTCAAAATATATTACTAAGTTGTTTTGTACTCAACTCCTACAATCGGTAACATATTTGCAGTTCCTATGGGTCATTTTGAAAACGGAGTAACCGCATAATCGAACAGTTGAATGAAACTAAAAGTTCTGTTTGCTAAGCTTAAATCGATGTAGTATAAAAAAACCGGACAAAAAAATACAAAACGTCAACTTTACATCCGGAAAATAATGTTATTTTGTTAACTTTCACAGAAAGTACAACTTTTGGTTTAGTGTATGAGTATGACTACTACTCATCAGTAAGTTGAATATGATGATAAACTTGGGTGACATAACAAAACATATCACCTTAATTCGGGGATAATTCTTCAACGGAAGCTACAGATATATATTAATGATAAAAAACCCAGATAAATTAGAGTCTATGGTCAACAAATCGCCACTTAGAACTTTGCATTTAGGAGTGTAAAATATGCTTTGACGGGATTTGTATCGAAGCATTTCAAACACCTAATAATATAATAGTAACTTAGAGCATCAAAATGAGAAACATATGTTCAGAACAATTAAAATATTAAGATGATTCAAATAACTAAATCTATTTTAATCGCAAACGTTTATTTTCACAATGTTAGTATTTACAATCTATGGGGCAACATTAATAAACAATTTACATGTAAACATGACAAATCTACTTCTCTATGAAGAAAAAAAGATAAACAATATGAGAGCATAAATTATGAAAGAACCAAAACAAAATGCAAGGATAGTCATTTGAAGTAAACCAATATCTATTGATTGGAATTTAGTTCACCCACTAGATTGGGAGCGTATTTCATAAAGAATCTCATCAGCACCGGAAAGAAGAAGACTTTGTGCTACTACGCAACCCAAACTTTGAGCAATAGCCATTCTGAGACGGGAAATTTCGGATGATGGAGTAACTAAAACTCCCATAAATATAGATGCTGCATCCAATGCTGCTTTTAACTCATCCTGGTGACAAAGTAGAAACACAAAACAGTAAGCAATATGAGTTAATTCTAGCAATAATTAAAAAAACTGTGAGCCATTAAAAACCGTTTTACCTAACTTCACGGCATAAAGAACTTGTAAATGTTGAGTTACTAGTTCAAACCACGTGGTCACAATCTATATCTATATTATCAAATAATCAAGAATAGTAAAAGTGATAATTTCGTGTACTCCACTAATACATTCATAACTCCGACCTCACTACAGTGAATGAAATCACCTTCACACTTTTTTTGTCTCGTTCACTACAGGCAGAAGTCCGCTTTTGTAACGAAAGCCTCGTTGAAAATAATTCCAATGGAAGTGAAAATGGGTCTTGGGTAAATCGGTTATATATTGGTTTCAACAATCAAGATTTATGAATTAAGTTATTGTCACTAAACACAATCACCGTAAAAATGAATTAAAACTGAATACAGTAACGTAACGAGAATGTACTGAAAGTTAACCATATATTTACGTTTTATATAGGTTTGGTTACCCTTCCCGAAAGTCGTAATTGACGTTTGTAGATTCTTAACAAAAATTTGATCAGAATTTGTTGATACAAAGACAAAAGTGATTCAGTAGGCTGAACATCTCTACCAAACTAGTGATCTAATACACACAACTGTCTCTAGTTCTTTAGTAAACTGTCCCATGTTTACAAATAGCTGACGGAGGATGTATTTTACATAAATCCTATCACATATTCGCGACCGTTGCTGCTACCTTGACACAGTGGTCGGGCTAGTCCATCGTGATGAACCACTCGAGCTATACTGGTTTGAACAATCGTTCCTCAAGGTCCTACCATACCATGCAGGTTGGTTGAAGAACGGTAAGACTAAAACAAGCAAACCCAAGGGCCAAAGGCGAAATCGTACTGCTGACTGTACAGTGGTGTGACAGTAGTGAGGTGTTTCCTTCAACCAACCAGCATAACAGCGATACTACCTTCTCATAAGGAGGGTGTGGGGTTGGAAGAGGTCGAGCCTAAAATGCACATCGCCTTATTCCACCTATTTCCGTCTCTGGTGGTAAGGTTCCAATAAGTACGGAGCTAACACAAAAATTGATCACTAAAGGGTCGTGCGTGGCCAACCTCAAGTAGTTGTCCCTTGGGCACTGTGGTCACTAAGGCAATCCCTAACCAAATTTCCTTTTCAGGTGCCGCCAGAAGAACCCTTCCACAGTGTGGGTAACCGGAAAGTGATAACTACCATCATACCTTTAACAGCACTCAAGACCACTGTATTCATCATATATTGGTTAGGGTCCTGATGTTAATTCGTTCTACTGCTCAAGTTATACGCGTCATATCAAGAATATAAGCATCTAGATATTATATATATATTCAATTTTTACACTGAAATAAAATAAGACGAACAGTTTATTTCTGCAAAAGAGAGGAATAATCAACCTACTTTAGTAGGAGAGGTTAGTGATGTCCCCCTACTTTCGACTATTGGTGCACTTGTGCTAGCATCATCATAACCGCTCGATTTTTGCACTGATTTGCAACTGGACTCCACACAATCATTTATGGGCATTTTATCCGGGAAAACAACGGAGGCAGATCTTTCTACACTCTTACCACCATCAACACTTAGTATATTTGCATGAAGAGTAAGTTGAGAATAGTTCAAGTCTCCTTTTAAAACAAGATCACTGCGCACGCCGATCGGGATAGAACAACCACCATCAAGTTGACGCATTAAACTGCGCTCAGCAATAGTTGTTAAGGCAGCTGACTCGTCATGGATGCCCGATAACAAATTCATGATGAAATTATCGATTTGACGACATTCACACGCCAATGCACCTTGACTTACAGCATAAAAAGAATCGGTTAAAACCTACAGAAGGTAAAAACATCCGGAAACAAAAAATTTATCAACAGTTCAGAACAACTGAATCAAAAAACCTAGTTACCAAAATATTTACAACTTTCTGTTACTATCTTAAAACTCAATGCGTTGAAAACCAATCTATAATTGTAAAACTTGGTTGACTACAAAAGCATACTTCTGATCCATACGGTGAATTGTACATATTGTTTTAAAAAAATTAGTCCCACGAACAACATAATAAAAAGTCTTAGTTTGCACTAATAGGTTTATCGTCATAAAGGTTCGTAAATGTTCTAATGTTTCGCAAATTATAAGTTCTCATTAAGGCCAAGTTCATACGATTTGTGACAATGCGAATTGATTGATAAGGATCTTTTCCCTGAAGTACTTGAATAAACCTATCAGTGTAAACTGAGACTTTTCACTATGTTGTCGGTGGGACTAATTTTCTTAAACAATACGTACAATATTCCATTTAGATCAGAAGTATGCTTTTGTAGTTATCCATATACATGACCAATATTAGAAAATCAACTACAAATCAAGATAATACTTATTCAACTCAATGAAGTTTAGTCATTTAATGGCGACTCATACAAGCAGATATCTAAACCTAACATGAATTTAGCAACGTAAATTGATACTAAACCAGTATACATACTAGACTTCGTGTGTTAATATGCAGAGACATTTATCTCAGAATATAGTCATAATGGTAAAAAAAATACTGGTTCATGACAAATTGAATGTTATAAATACATGGAGCAAATGATCACAAATTCAAGATATCTAAGCACTAAGTACTTAACTGTTCTAGAAATAAAAGTCATTTGAGGGATTCTACTGTGATGATGCTTAGAAAAAGAAACCATATTTATTTATTTGAACACAAATATCGGTACAAAGGGACACTGAATACATATGCGCCACACAAGTCACTTAATTTGTGTGTGAGCTATAATACTGCCCGGATGAGAAAACCGAAGCAGGTGATTTTCTGAGGAGGCCACACCCGGAGTCTTCGAATTGAAGGTTTGATTCAAGAGGTATTGGAGTAACGTAAGATGCACTCCCATGGTAGCCGGTGGCCAAAGATTGGTCCATACGCCGTTTTTTAATCAGGATACTGGAGCACATGTGGGCCATTGGTTTGGAATTAGGGCTTTCCAACTTATTTAGGTGAAACCTGTATCCACCAACCCGGTTAAAGCGCATGATATTCGCTTTTCGTCCTCCCAATTTTTTAAAGAACACCCCCGCCGCGAGAATACAGTGAGTAGAACCTCCCTGGCAGTGGCTGGATGCGAGTGGTCATGTGAGAGGATTTCGGATGGGAGAGTGAACTCTCCCCACCCTCGGTCGTACCAGGGTATTTGGGGGCAGTTTGGTCTTTATTGTCTCACGAATGCCGAGCTAGACGGCATACACTGTTACATTACGAATTCATGGGAAAAGTGATTATCGTTAAGAAATTAATAGCCGTCTCAATTTTTAAACAAATGGTGGTCACATATCAATTACTCAAAACAATACAAAGACCGACCTGATCGATACGGTGCGACCAGCCCATCCTTTCAACACCCGCCTTAGCCAGGATGATCGCATCATAACTTTGAGATGGATTGGTTAAACAGCAATTATCCTTGGAAGCTGGAGGAGTATCGAGTTTGGCAAGCCTTGTGTTTAAATTTCCACGTATGGATACAAACTTCAGATGTGGATACTTGCGTGTAAGTGTGGCTACGCGCCGAACAGCACTTGTTCCAACTGTAGATCCGATAGGGAGATCAGAAAGTTTTCTTCCACGATAATGTGGAGCCATCAAAACAACATCATCAGGAGATGCTCTGGCAAATACACACCCAAGGACTAAGCCGGAAGGAAGGATTGATGGGACATCTTTAAGTGAGTGTACGACAAGGTCAACTTCTCCACTAAGTAGGGCATTTTCAAGTTCCTTTGTGAATAAACTTTTATCACCAATCTTTGATAATGAAACATCTAGAATTCTGTCGCCGACAGTTGCCATTTCTACAACTTCAAACAGAATGTGTGGATTTTGTTTTTGAAGTAAATTAACTGCCATTCCAGTCTGGAGAAGTGCCAAATTACTGCGCCTCGACCCAACACGCACAACGGTACGAGGCGATGGACCAGGCATGATGAGTGTTTTGGAAAACCCACAAGGTCAAATCTATCCTAATATTGGACTTCAAACTTTACAAGTTTTCTGAGCTAATAGAAAATTATTTATCTTTTTAAATCTGCGTCTAGGTAGTATGAATAATTTCTTGGTCGCAGTAATCTGTGATTTTTTTCACGCTGTCTCTAAGTCTGAAAAGCAAGTACATTTTACAATAACCCATACGGTGATCGAGAAATAATACCCAAAACGGCTCCTTTCAGCACCTACTGAATCGATGTAGAAAATCAGATATTCTCTGGGCAGACACATAAGAGTTGGTCACTAATATCTCTTACCGTTGGAAACTCCACAATTTACTTGTTCTAAATAAGAGTTTTCACGACTTCGTTCTTGTTCTATTCTAACTCCTTGTACATTAAGATGTAATTTATTTCTCACTCTTATGTGATCTCTTGGGACTGAGATGGTTATGCGGATCTGATGAATCAAGATTATAACCTCACTAATTTGTTGTGATAAAACAATCCCTACTATGTCATTAGTTGAAGACACCTACGGTATAGATAAGATATTCTCAAGCTAATTAAGCAATGTATGTACCGTAGAGAACCCATCTTCTTCAGCTCATAAAATCCCTACCCGCAAACATCCTGAGCACTGGAGCCGTCAAAAACTTGGTCACTTTTATCTGCTAAACAAACTTTTTATGGGTAAATTCATGGAAGTCGATGAAATGCATCCTACCGTACGAAATGTACTGGTAAATTTAATCACAAACACCTTAAAAACATGTTTATGTCAGAACACAACCCAAAGTCAATCACAAAAAGGCTGGATGAATACTAAAGTGAGTCCAATCTTCAAAACAGGTAGGAGATACGATTCTGCGAACTGACGACCCGTTGGCCTAATCAGTGTGGCTGTCAAAATTTCAGGTAACATTATCCAGAATTAGTTGTTTGAGTACCTAGACGAAAACCGGATTCACTCTGAAAAGCAGCATGGCTTTAGAACAAGTTACTCCTGTCTCGCAAAATTGTCAATAATCTACGAAAATTGGTGGGCTATTAAGTATTATAATTTACACATGGAAATAGCTTACAATGACTTCAGCAAGGCTTTTAACAAAGTTCCTTACAGCCGGCTGTTATCTAAGTTAAGCGGTATCGAGATTGGAGGTGAATGAACGATCTCCTAGTTGGGCGTCAACAAAGAGTACGGGTGAACTCCAAGTTATCTGGCTGTGAAACTGTGTTTAGAGAAATGCCTCAGGATACGGTTGTAGGGCCCGTGTTGTTCCTCCTGTGTGCAAATGACCCCCTCAGTCTCTTATCACCATCCATTTTGTTATATGCTGAAAATATGAAGGTGTTATTAATGGTTTCAAAATGACCAGGAGAAGTTATCTGAATCGTTTAGAATTTGACAGTTACCGATAAGTACTTCCAGGCGTATTTTGATGCACACTGACAACAAAGGTATAGATACATACAACGTGAGTAACATTGAGCTGCCTGTTATCCAGGCACACAATGACACAGGATTAATAGTCAGTCAAATCTCGTAAACCACTGCTCACCAAAGGTCTAAAATCCATATGATCTATCCATGAAGCCCCTTAGCCATTTCAGCTCTGAAACCTTTTTGACTTTTTATACAGTGTTCCTTCTCCATAAACCTGGATATTACATAAAAGCGGCTAGCTCCTGCCCTAATAGAGACAGTGAGTTGTTGGAAAAGACTCAAAGAAACGGGACAAAGCTAATTTCCAGAAAGCAAAGGCACCTGTATGATGATAGGCTGGCTAAAATAGACCAATTTCTCTTGCCCCACTGAAGAACCAAACATGAATTAATCAAAGTTTTCTAATTACTTGATGGTAAATTTACGTCTTATACGCCATCCATTTTTTGTCTTCCGAAACAGAGTATTTACGAGCACTACGAAGGTGTCCACAAGCTCATAACAGATTACTTGTCATCTGCCTATCAACTTCCCTATTGAATTATCAACAGTAGTACCGCACCAGTAATGTATGACGATTATGTGAATTCTCATGCATACTCAAATAATATAGCGATGTATATACAATAGACAAATCCTCTTCTTTGTTCCCTAAAATAACATTCCACACACGAAGTGTACAGTGCGACCGTTGAAGATCTAGCTCAATTTCGTTTCTTCAACAAACTCATTATCGGTAGATTCATGGAGCTCGACGAAGCGCATCCTACCTTACGAAATGTACTGGTAACTTTAACCGTAAACACTTTAAAAACATATTTATGCCTGAATACAATCCAAAGTCAACCACCAAATGACTGCAAGAATGCTAAAGTGAGTCCAATCTTCAAAACAGCCACGAGATAGAATTCTGCGAAGGTGTTATTAATCTCTTCAAAATGACCCGGAGAAGTTATCTGAATTGATTAGAATATGACAGTTACGGATAAGTACTTTCAGGTGTATTTTGATACATATTGATAACCAAGGTACAGATACATATAACGTGAGTGACATTAAGCTACCTTTTATTCAGGCATACTCTGGCACAGGATTAGTCGTCAGTCTATTTCCCTTGTTATCTCATGTTTAGCTTTGAGGATTGTGGTTAGGATCCAATGCCACTACAAGAGTGCAAGCACCTTCTGCACAGAGTTGTATTTCCAGCTGTCGCTTGTAGAAAAATGCCGGACACTCTAAACCTGGGTAACAGTAAGAAGTCGAAGTATTCAACTGATCATTTATATTTAAAGATGCCACCAGTATTTGGAGTTTGACAACTCCATAACCAGTAACACCATTTATAATCGAATTGTACTAACCCAAACAAATCAAAAGTCAGAAGCGAAGTTTGGGAGTAATTTTCGATAGAATATCGAGATAGAGAAGTGACAATTATAAGTTGGCCAGCGGTCGTAGGAAATGTGAAGCACGGCGTACTCACTAGTGATCTGGCGCGAATGCGTGGCCCAGAGCCTTCGGCTAGGTGAGTCCATTAAAACTAATAGGATTAGCAGTGAATGTCGAAGACTTGCAGAGCTATTGATTTGGGCGATCTATTTAGCGCTATACTATTATGCATGCTATCATTTTTTTCACTGAATCCTGCATTATACCCTTCTTAATGCCTATACTTCGATTCGCAAAATATACCATATACTATAATCGTTTGAAGCACACACCGATGGCTTACCCACAGTCCATAATTTATAACTGCCCGATAAGCTTGTAAAATGATCCTTATAGAAATTGTGTTTTCCAAAAATATGTGGAACACAAAGCATCGTGTGAGGTATAATATTTATCTAAAAATAAGCTTAAATGAGCCTATCATCACAAAAGAAACGAAGGGGAAGTTACTAACCAGCAAGCATTGATGGTAAGGGTGGTGACTTTAATCACCCATGCTTGTGGAACAGAACACTTTGTTTGTATCAGGCTCTTTATGGCTGAGAACGAGGCAGTCAATCAGAGACACTGGGGTTGTTCTTCTACGCCCATTGTTCAGACTCATGTTTCCGATTTCATGCTAGATTAGCTACCCTACTAAGACAACCTATGACATGCTAACTCGGACTTTTGCATTAGGACCTTGTAGCTGGCATCAGACGAAAAAAACTCGAATAACTCAGACAATAAAAGATATAGTTATTCATGAATCATAACACTTTACTCTCTTGATGCCCATTCCGTTCTGCTAAACAGCCGTCTTCATTCTAACTCCGGATTCATTTCTATCATCTGAAAATACACCACACTGTTAGACATAACAACTCATTGTTCTTTATCGGTGTATTCTCTTATCTAGAAGCTCTAATCTATTTCACTCTAGCAACCAAAGTTAGAATGAGTTAAATCTACCTGTCTGTTCCATTACAAAATGTTAAACATTATTTTTGAAGTTAATATTCGAGCACCTTGCTGCTCCGTTGTTCTTATTTTTCATAATCTCACTCTCAGGGCATAGCTATGGAGTATTCGATGCCTGAAAAAACTTGACGTATGTGTTTTATCGAAATCATAGTTCACACCAAGCGCTCTACAAATTTACTTTATACCAACTATAAACTGAAAAAGTTGTATTACACAAATACTTGACACGACCAAAATTTTAACACAATAATGCCAAGCCTGGATCTGGTGTGTAAAGTGGATGCGATGCCACTTCAGAAAAATATTTTACGACCGTACTCATTGTCATACTTAATCATAAACCTAAATATTTGCGCTCCAAGTCATCCACATGAATGTGCTGTTATTTCCTCTTATTGATTAGATGGTTGTTAGGGGTAGTCAACAGGTTCCGTGCTACTTTGCACTCGTCAGTCAGGTCTTCTTGTAATCTTGAGGGAACTGATGCTCCCTGACGGATACGATCCTGTGACACCCAGTTTTACGGTCAGAGACGCAACCACTGAACTATCCGGGCCGCGATTGACCTCCAGTAGGACTGAGATGTGGCTCGCGATGGAGTCCGTTAGGGAGCATTAGTCTCCTCAAGATTACAGGTATACCTTGCCGACGAGTGTCAAGTAGCACGGAACCTAAGTCTAGGGTTTCCTGTTGATTGCCTCCAACCAATATCTTACCCCAACGTAATGCACGTAATGTCGAGTCACATAGACTAGTTGCCACATGGCAACTTGGTCGATAGGATCCGATCTACACTACGAGGGACCTGACGTAAATGACACTGGTCACCACCCAGTGGTCAATCAGTTGTAAACTTTTACTGATTTCATCTATTTAGTGACCCCACTCGGGAAGCATACTGTAAGTAAACTAATGCTGTAATTCCTAGATCATGCCCGTCACAATGGCGTTTACCTGCCTTCGCAGAAATATTTTATAATTATACTATCAGATAACAATATGTTACATGTAGCGTACCAGTTTACAAGTAAGATCAAATTGTTACAAATGCTTCAGGCTTTAATCTAATCAGTTACCGAATTACACTGACAAGTTGTAGCTCATATGGGCGATCTAACCAGGAGATAATTTTTCATTCATTACAATACTAATGTTAGCAT